AAAAAATAAATAAATAAATATACTAGCACAGATGCACTACATTCAACGCCTTAAGTTGAGGCCTGCTGAAAAGGGGGCATCCCAGTGCACAAGACATCCTGCATTCATGTAGGGTCCGGGGGAGGGCCGCACCCTAAGGGGTGTGGTGGGCAACCTACCCTAATGCAAGCATTAGTGGCTGCTTCCACGGCACGGCTCAAGTTGAGGCCCGCTGCAATATTACAATCTCATGTGATTGTGTCCATTTTAGTTATAATACAAAATATATTAGCTACATATCATTTCTATCAGTATCTCATTTCTTTTTTATTTGTTTTATTAATCCATATATTATTAACTACTGCTCTCCTTCCTCCTTTAGATGAGGCAGTTTCGGCTTTCTGTTTTGGGACGTCCCAAAAATGTTTGATAAAGTTCAATTTCTTCACAATTTTCAAGGATTCAAATTCATTAGCATTCAAAATTTTACTATGATATGATGTTCTCTACCGAACAAACTTTCAATTTTAGTGTTTTCTTCTACTATCACCAACAAAATATACTAGTCAATGCACATCTTAAAAGTCTGTATCATATAAATTGTGATGGACGGAGTATCTATTATCAGCATCCTTTCTTTTTTTTTTTTTTGGGTAAGTTTTATTGGCGTAAACCAGCAGACACTGCGGAAGGTTCATCACAGGGAATGTAAGGAACAGATAAAGTCCAACATAGCTTCAGGCTCTAAGAAGTTTGCCGCTGCAATGAAAACTAAGCAAGATTATACATTTGTGTTTAGGACTTAATTACATCTATTATCAACATCTTTTCTTGGGTTGAAACAAAGAGAATTTTGGGATTTTCAAGTTCTATCAAATGAGCAATTTTGTCCATTTATTAATCTGACAAACAAAAATTAAACATGTTCTTCAAAGAGAACTAATGCCATTTGAACTGCACATATGACCAAATGGTCCCACATGTTTTTGTTCTAATTACAAAACAATGCCTTCACCAACAGTCGTCCGACCAGTAAGCGAGGTGCGAAAATTCACTTGCCCTTCTTTATAAACTTGACAATAGCTTTTTCTAAGAAAGTAAACTTGAGAAATAGCTATTTCTGAAAATTCCAATTTACATTTCAGGATAATGGATCCATCATCATACATTAGGCCTATGTTGCTCGGACTCTCCGAAAAAATGTGGCCGGATACGTGTTGGATCCTCCAAAAGTAGTGCATTTTTGAAGGATCCGACACGGGTGCGGCTACATTTTGGAGAGTCCGCGCAACATAGCATTAGACTATCACCCAAAACTGTTTTGACTCTGTCAATAAGGGCCCGCTGTGTATGATATATGATTACAACTCCTATTTCAGTATTTGCATATTGTAATTCAGTATATGAGAAATATTGGAACGCTAGTGTAAAGGTGTATTTCAAGTTTCATATTAGTTTCAACTTTCACAACCATCTTTTTTAAAGTGAATTTCATGTCCAAACACCGATTTCCACAAACTGTTTTTTCAACTTCAACTTCCAACACTCTTTTTTTCAACTATAACTCAAAAATTGTCCAAACGCCTCCGCTGTGCCTTTATAAGAACTTTGATCTGTCACTAATATGGTAAAAACGATCAAACATGTGCTCTCGATTTCTAGCCTCAGGAAACAAAGAAATTAAAAACAACTAAAATAAAAACCAAGAAATTCTCACAACCCAGCCAAATTCAACAATCAAATGGGAAATAAATAGAAAACTAAACAAAATGTAGAATTTAAAAATGAAAAAAAAAAAGAGGTTTCAGATAGCGAGCATTATTATCGGAACACTAAAAGAAAAAAAAAGATAAGAGAAGTGGAACGGACCAGTGGTGATGAGTTGTGAGAACAAACTTAAGGTCAACTTCATTCTCCTGAGCAACTCTAAGGACCTTATGTGGCTCCACTGGGTCCACTACTGCAGCTTCCTTTGTTGTTTCATCTATGATCCTGCAAACCAGATCACAAATTCATACAATAAACATAAACCCTAAACCTGATATGAATTTAACAAAATTTAAAATAGACATCTGAATTTGAGAAACATACATATAGGAATAATTGTCATCTAAGCATGGAATGTGAAGAACTTTCATCTCGGGCGCCGATCAGATAATACCACTCAGTTCAGTTCTGTCAAGTTGGAAAAAGGCAATTATCGAGCGCGCGTAGCAGATAACTGTTAAACTCTTGAGACTAGAATGACGTACAGCGTTTGTGCAACTGACGTGGCAAGGAAAATAGTAAGTATGTTTGGCTGGGCCAAAATAATTTTTGTTAAATATTCGGATTCGCGCCGCTCCTACAATTGGAAGCATCAAGCATTTAACTATCCAAGTTAGATAAATAAAAATTATTAAGACATATTTTGAAGTTTTACCTAATTAGGATAGTTATTTTGAAGTTCTACCTAACTTGGATTGTTAATTGTTTTTTAAGTTTTAGAATTCAAAAGATATTTTAAAGGTAAAATCGGATAATGAAATGTATTTTAAGAATTCGTGTGCATTTTCATTATCAAACTTTTTGTGGAAAATAAATGTTGGGATTCTAAAATGGTGGTTTGGAGCATCGCTGTGTACCAAGTGAAATAACAGAAATTTAGGGTGTGTTTGGTATAACGGAAAATATTTTCTTGAAAAACAAGTAGTAATTTTATTTATTTTTCGGTGTTTGGTACGCAAATTAAGGAAAATAACTTCTTAAGAGTATTCATAAATAATTTAGATATAATAAACATGAAGCCTAAACTTTCGAACCAACAACCTTCCGAACCCACAAATTTCATAAACTTCCGAACTGCTAAACTTTCAGAAACCGCGAACTTTCGAACCCATAAACTTTATAATTTCTAAACCCGTAAACTTCCAAACACATAAACCTCTAAACTTATAACTTTGCAACTTGTAAAATTTCGAACCTGTAAACCGAAAGATGAAAAAACTAAAACTAAAAATATATTAAAAAAATATTTTTTTCCTGGGGAGGAGCAGGGGGAATAGCAGGGTGGGTGGTGACGGAAAAAAACTAAAATTTGAAGAAAAATCCTTTTTGGAGAGAGGGGTGGGGTAGGTAGGCGTGGGNNGGGTGTGGGATGGGTTGGTGAGGGTGAGGAAGGTTGAGGAGGAGTTTTGGAAAATATTTTCCCTTCCCTTGATAAGGAAAAATTGGAGGAAAATGAGTTCATAAGGAAAATATTTTTCAAAATATTTAAGCCAACCAAACATGGGAAAATTGGAAACATTTTCCTTCGTACCAAACACACCCTTAATAAGTAGATTTTTCATCTAAAATTATTTATGATTTGTTACATGAATTTATGGAATTGAGGCACTCTTTAGAAGAAGCAATCTGAAGCAAAATCATTTCGGAGGGCCTTAAACTACGTGCTTAACATTTTCAGTATTTAAAAAATAGATTTATTTTGGTTACTTTACTTTAAGTTTATTAAATTTAAGAAATTTTGCAATAGAGACCAAAATATATATTCCTCAAATTGATGGTCAATGAGCTCATAACAAAAATTAGAATTTTCTAATAACTAAGGACCAAAAAAAAAAAAAAAAAAGGCAATTGTCCCTAATTGAACTAAGAGGTAAAAAGTCCTCCGCATAATTAACACTTCACAAAAGACATAAACAAGAAACACTTTTCCCCCACCCCTCTTATCGACAAGTAAAGCATTTATTGATGAGTAACAACAACATTGAGATAGCAGAGGGGGATACAAAAGTTTGTCCAATTTCATCACTAATTATTTTGTATAGATACTAGGAAATCCAATAAAATGTCTTATATCATATATATTTTTGAAGTTGCATGACCTTTATTGACTTTGCTCCTCTAATTATCACGACTCAAAATCCCACCAACGATCATGATGGCACCTAACACGCCGATTAAGCAAACCAATCACACAACTATCAAACAAATGACAGAAATGAAGCATTATATCAAATCTAAATGAAATTTATAAATAAGTCTAAAACCAACACCAATAATACAACCCCAAAAACTTATGTCAACGAGTACATAAGCTCTAACTAAAGTATGTCAGAATACAATATTCTAAAATAAATACTACACTAGAATCTAGCAGAACAATGTATAAGATGATCAGGTACAATTAACAGAGATAATAACATGTTTTCGGATAAAGAATGGTCAAAAGCTCATACTAATACAGTGAGTCGGCATATAAGGATGATGTGCACCACATAGCATTATTATAAAAGTCCGAAACTGAAATGATGACTTTTTGGACATAAAATACGTATATACAATTTAAAAAAAAGTTACATTTCTAACTAAAACGCAGTATTATACTGCTTTTTACATTAATGGAAAGTTAACCGTTAAAGTTAAATGCAGTATAATACTGCGTTTTATTTAATAAATTTTTTTGAAGGGAAACACAGTATAATACTACGTTTAAGGAAAATGCAGTATTATACTGCGTTTCCCTATAAAATTGGGCCCACCAATAATAAGAGTTCTGCAGGACTGAAAAAAATAATTTTTTTTTTAGGTAAAACGTATTATAATACTATGCTTTACACTAAAACGTATTATTATACTGTGTTTTACACTAATTTTTGGGCCCACCAATAAGTGTTATGCGGATAACTGACATAACAATAATTTAGATACATAAAACGTGGTATTATACTGCGTTTTACATAAAAAAATTCTGCACCCCAAGCTCGGACTNTGGTAGATTTTCGTATTCTATGACTCCGCGGGGGTTTGCTTATTATTCTGAATTTAACATCGAAGATGATGAAACTTTTAGAGACTTTTTGCGGATTCCAGATGAATGTAGAGAATTTATTGTAATAAAATTATTGGAAATGTACGTCAAGGTTGAAGACGTTCCCAATAATGAGGGTGTGCATAGTAGGGATAACCCCCAGTCATTGAGTGGTTATTCTGGAGCAGTTTTTGTCGGACAAATTGTTGATGAAAGAGCTTGCATTGATTTAAACTTATCACCACCGGCGAATGAGCAGCCACAATATAATTTTTCGACTTTATATAATCCACAAGACAACTGGTAAACTTCAATTTTTCTACGCTTTAACGATGTTTATTTTATGTTTGAATTGGATTTGTATTAACACTCATATTTTTCATAGGGGGTACCGTCCGGATATGAATTTTACAAGTTAATGCCCCGCCCCTAGTTGGAATATGCGTAGTTCTGACGTATTGGACCACGGTAGTCCATCCGGGAGTCATCACTAATAAGAAAATATCCATCATGAAACGTCAACACAGTATAACTTGTAAGTAAAGTGATATAGCTATATGTAAAGTATTTATCTAGTTGAGTAACTTATCATTTTGTTCTTTTTGTGCAGTGAAAACGAGCAACTTGATGTTCCTGACCTTACACAGTTGCCCATAGATGACATACTGACTCGTGATTTGGCAGATGCGCAGAGTCAGGAAGATGATAGTGATTATCACAATAATGCAGATGAGTCTGGAGATGACACACCCTTCCATGACGAGGATGATGACGAGGAGCAAGTGGATGCCGAACCTGAGCTGACGAGGGAACATGCTCCTCCACCTCCCGTTAGACCAAGAGTGTACGAGTCTCACGTGCCCTTTCATGAGTGAAATATTCCCTACCTTGATAATTTGCCAAATATGCCGGACGTGGATGCCCTCACAAGGGATGATGATGAATTTCGGTCAGCGATGTGGAATGAGTCTAGACAAGCGGTGCTTGCAAAAGGCATGTATTTCCCCGATAATGTTCGCCTAATCAGGGCTGTAAAAATCTACAGCGTAAGAGAGTGCCGTGAGATGACGGTAAGTGAGTCAACTACGGATGTATACAAGGTTGTATGCCATAGAGACTTTATGGGTTGTCACTGGATGTTGCGTGCCAGCAAGAAGAAATTAGGTTTGTGGAAAATGGGTAAATTTATTAGCACCCACAGATATGAAATGGACACATTCAATGAGAATCAATTCAACCTGGATGTAGACTTGATTCCTCTTGTCTTGATTCCATATTTGGAAGTGTCCATTAGGTTCAAGATTAAAGAGTGTATTACAGCCGTCCACTAGGAGTATGATTGTACTATAACCAAAAGAAAGGCATAACTCGGTCGCAAACGTGCCTTTGAACTTATTTATGGCAACTAGGATAAGTCTTTTTCATCTTTGCCCAGGTACATGGCCGCACTGCAACACTTTAACCCCGGGACTGTTGTTGAATGGAGGCGTGAGCGGAGTCCGGATAGACCCGAATATATTTTCAACTATGTGTTCCGGTCATTTAAACTAGCAATTGATGGTTTTGTGCATTATCGTCCTGTAATTTCCATAGACGGTACTCATGTCTATGGAAAATATGATATTAAGCTTTTGATTGCAGTTGCAGTAGATGCCAATGGACAAATATTTCCACTAGCTTTTGCCATTTGTGCCAACGAAAGCGAAGAGACGTGGACGTTTTTTTTGAACCACTTGAAGCAGCACATTGTCAAACAGTGTTCAGGTATTTGTCTAATATTTGATCAACATGGTGGTATTTAAAGTTCTGTACGGCACTTGCCTGAATGGAAGGAACCATATGCATACCACTGTTACTGTGTGAGGCACCTGAAGGCCAATTTCCAGAAGAAATATCCTGACAAGCCTTGCATGATTTAATGTGGATGGCTGCAACTGAGCACCAGCAGTGCAAATTCATGAGGTGCATAGAAACGATCCGGCAGTTAGATCCACGAGCCTATACTTGGCTGATGGGACATGAGCTTCACATGTGTAAATTGCATGCTGATGGCGGCAGACGATGGGGAGGCCTAACTACAAATGTGTCGGAGTCATTCAATGGCTTGTTGAAGTCTGCCCCTGGATTGCCTGTCACTGCCATGGTCTGCATGACTTTCAAACAGAGTGCGGAGAGGTTTGTTGAAAGGCATGGAGCTGCATCGATATTGATGGACATGGGTGTTCAATTTATGCCAATACCAATGAGAAGATTTGAAAGGTACAGGAGGCGAGCACATTGACATTCATTTTTACAGTACGATCACGACCGGGGTATTTTTGAAGTTAAGACCGCTATCCGCGGACACCGGGGGAATAATCTATAGACGGTGAATGAAGCCAGCAGGTTGTGTTCATGTGGGAAATGGACCATCACATGTAGAAGCAACAGAAAATCACACATGTCCACCTAGGTGCTCATGCTCGCCCGTCACATACTCCTATACAGGTATGCTAGAATAGCAGCACCCCATCTGTACTGGGGTAACTCATCTAGCTGTTGCAGATGATGCA